AACGAGGCACGGCTTACAACGTACATTCTACTATGTCCCCGCCTTTTTCCTTCTATTTTCCTTTCATTTTTTATCGTTTATAACGAGATTGGTTTTAGCAAGATATCGGTTACAACGTACATAATTTCACCGTCCCATGCGTATTTTTCAGAATTTTAACGATGTCACTTCATTTGCACTTCGTCTGCATCAGTTTGTCACCTTGAGAAAAACAATGATGACCAATAATAAAGGTCAATTAAGGAAGAAATTATTAGCGTGGGACGAGATAATTGGTTGAGCAATTAGCGATCAAATGTATCAGCCTTGTTTTGTCAGCGCTCCGAGCTAAATTGTCCTTAAGGTGACGAAATGTCATAACAAAACAATTTCATTGAGCGATTACCACAAAGGAAGCGGCTTTGTGGTGTTATTCGGTGTTTGTGAGAAATGCATTGCGTGACTTTTGAAAACAAATTTTAAAATGTACATATTATTGAAAAAACACATGCGGTTAAACGTAGGTTGTGTTTTCATGTTTTGTTTAAATTCTATGATAGCTAGATATATTTATATTCAGGTATATTTAAATAAAACAAAATCTTCTGATTGCAAAGAGTAACCTCCCATTATATACTCTTCAAAAAGGATGCACGCGAAAGCGAAGGTAGAAATAAATGATGCTCGACGGTGTCGGATTTCTCAATTTGTTCTGTCCCGGTTATAACGAGACCCGGTTATAACGAGGAATCATCCGAAGTCCCGACGATCTCGTTGTATCCGGAGTGCACTGTAGTTATACTCCCAAATATCTCAAACATATTAGAGCTATGTTGGTGGTGCTTGTTGTCAACATTCATGCTGCAATGTTGGGTTTTTATGCTCCCCGAAAAATTTCGGGGGAGCATATAGTCGGCGCCTTGTCCGTCTGTCCGTCCGTCCGCACTCACAGGAGAGTAATTATGTGGCTAGAGGGCCAATAGGTAACTGTTCTTTCTCTTTGATGTCATTCATTCCGTAATGCTTTTATGTGGCTATTTTCTTTTGCGTGGCTAAAAAGAACAATAGAGAGAACAATAGAGTAGCCACATAATTACTGTCCTGTGAGAACGTCCGTCTTTCCGTCCGTTTTCTTGTCCGGAGCATAACTTGAAAACCCTTGGAGATAATTTGTTTAAACTTCATACAGTGGTAAAGGGCATTGAGGGGGAGTGCAGTGTCAAAGAACCATAACTCTATTTTGCCCGGTTTTTGAATTATCTCCCCTTATAGAAAAATCTTGTCCGGGGCATAACTCTAAAACTAGAAGTGATATCAACATGAAACTTTGTAGGTGAATAGATCTCAATGGGTAGATGTGCAGTGCATAAGAACAATAACTCTTTTTGTCCTAATTTTGGAGTTATTGCCCTTTGTTAATTTCAACACTTTGAACTTTGTCCGGAACATAACTCTAAAACTATAAGAGCTATCAAGATGAAACATTGTAGGTAGATAGATCTCATTGAGTAGAAGTGCAGTGAAAAAAAGAACCATAACTCTGTTAAGCCTCATTTTTGAATTATCTCCCCTTATAGAAAAATCTTGTCCGGGGCATAACTCTAAAACTATAAGAGATATCAACATAAAACTTTGTAGGTGAATAGATCTCAATGGGTAGATGTGCAGTGTTAAAGAACCATAACTCTATTTTGCCCGGTTTTTGGATTATCTCCCCTTATAGTAAAATCTTGTCCGGGGCATAACTCTAAAACTATAAGAGATATCAACATGAAACTTTGTAGGTGAATATACCTCAATGGGTAGATGTGCAGTGCATAGGAACAATAACTCTTTTTGTCCTAATTTTGGAGTTATTGCCCTTAGTTAATTTTAACAGTGAACTTTGTCCAGAACATAACTCTAAAATTATAAGAGATATCAAGATGAAACATTGTAGGTAGATAGATCTCATTGAGTAGAAGTGCAGTGAAAAAAAAAACATAACTCTGTTAAGCCTCATTTTTGAATTATCTCCCCTTTAAGAAAAATCTTGTACTGGACATAGCTGTAAAACTATAAGAGATATCAACATGAAACTTTGTAGGTAGATGTATCTCAATGGGTAGATGTGCAGTGCACGAGAATCATAACTCTGTTTTGCCTAATTCTGGAGTTATTGCCCTTTGTTTATTTTGACTTTTTGAAGTTGTCCGGAACATAACTCGGAAACCATAAGAGATATCAACAAGAAACTTGGTAAGTTGATAGATAACAGTGATTAGAAGTGCAGTGCAAAGAACAGTAACTCTGCCTTTCCTAATTTTGGAATTATTGCACTTTGAACTTTTTCCATGGACATAACTCTGAAACTACAAGAGGTGTACTTTCCTGTGTCCAAAACCTATTCGGGGAGCATCACCCGGCTCAAACCGGGCTCTTGTATTACAGGTGTTGTCAGTGGAAAGTTGTACACTAAGACCATATGTGCATCAGCTAAACAGAAATTGTCAGTACATTATAACCTTCACAATCTGTATGGTTTCATGGAAACCAAGGCAACATACTAGTAAGTGAAAAAGTAGATTTCTTCACCAGAAATGTTTATTTGATACAGGTATTTTTTGAAAAATGAACACCTTGTGCAAATGTTACTTTGCAGGTTTTTATCAAGAACTATAAATTAGAAATTGTGAAAATATTAAATTTTGTTGTTTTAAGATATTTCAATTCATTTCTTACTAAAGTTTATAGCACTGTATAAAGTATTTGAAGAATATTCATTATTTTGTATACTTGTATATTAACTTCATTGAAATGATCAAAATAGTAATTTAAGCCTTGTCTGCTTAGAAATGGTTGTATTTTGTTGTTATTTCAGTACCATTTATAAACATAGCATTGATCATCAATAAATCTTTGTTAATTTAACAATTTGTAAGATTTAGTCCTGAGTTCTAGTGTTATTGACCTGTAAAGAATCAAATAAGCATTTTTAAATGTAATTTATTGCTCATTGTTTAGATATTTTATATGTCACATAGCATAATTTAACTATTATTATGAAACTTATTATTTAGTGTTATTTAGGGCTTTGTGTTTGTTATAACTTTTTCGATAATTTTATATCTAAAATATTGCAGTGCATTAAAAGAATTACCATCTGGGAAGAGGCCTTTCATCATTTCTAGGGCAACATTTGCAGGTCAAGGTCATTATGGAGGTCACTGGACTGGAGATAATGTGGCAACATTTCATGATTTATACAGGTCTATCTCTGGTAGGTCACAATTCTGCTTTTATTTATCCATAGTTTGCTGCTTATGTTAACCCCTATACATGTTTCTTATGACAATGGTCATTTTTCACAGGGTCAACATTACCAGATTTAATGTTGAAGTTCTTTCTCCAGTGTCAGCTTGAAAAGAATGAAGAACAATTTATTATCTTTTATAAGTGGAATGTAAGTATAAACAAATGTCAATTTGTTTTAGAATAATTTATTATTTTCTGTAAGTAAGGTATGTAATATCAGATTATGTAACTCATACTTACAGACAATATCCATATACATATTTCTTTTGTGGTTTGTTGTCGTTTATGATACTTAATACTATCAATGTAATAGTTCATTGTATAACAGACCTTCCATTATCGACCAATTAACTTTTATGAGGAGAAATAAGGTAGTCATAAACCATTAAATATTGACTCTAGTTCATAGACAGTGTATTTAACAATAAATCATATTAAAAAGGGTGAATTGACATGATTATGTGAGCAGCGTCACGACAAAACCAACATAGTGCGTTTGCGACAAGCATAGATCCAGACCAGCCTGCGCATCCACGCAGTGTGATCAGGATCCATGCTGTTCATTATCAGTTTCTCTACTTGTAATAGGGTTGGCAAGCGAACAGCATGGATCCTGATCAGACTGCGCGGATGCGCAGGCTGGTCTGGATCTATGCTGGTCGCAAACGCACTATGTTGGTTTTGTCATGGCTCAATTGTATTTTAGCAATATTGACGATGAATCTAGCTGGTATACCAATGGTTGGTGCAGATATATGTGGTTTTAATGGCAACACTACATATGAGTTATGTCTAAGATGGTACCAACTTGGAGCATTTTTTCCATTTTCTCGCAGTCACAATAGCGATACAATACTGGTTTGTTTCATTTTATTACAGCTTTTGTAATTAGTTAATATTGAGAAAACACATTGAATTTATTCCAATAAATATTATCTTTATAACTTTTAGAATACCATAGTATCCTACCTTGTTAGATTTTGAAAGAATTTTTTGGTGAATGGTTTTATAATAGATTGTTATTTTGGTAAGCTTAATTTTTAAGTTAACATAGTTTCAGATTCATATGACAAATAATTACACAATTTATTACTAGTGAAGCATTCCTGTAGAGAGTATCATGTCATATTCAGTGGCTCATTAGTCATTAAATGTTTTACTAATTTTATATGAGTAGCCAAAGATTTTTAAAAATCACAATAAGTAAAGCCAAATAAGGAAAATTAGAACAACAACTTTTGACTGTTTACATTGAAGTGCAGGAAAATAGTGGTAATAAAGTTGGCATCAATTGACCCTGCCGAACAAATGTAATTTTCAAGTGTATACTCTTTATTGCAGTGTAACTTATAAGTATTAACTAAAAGGTTATTCTTTTCTTAATATATTCTCAAATAAAGTAAAATTGATATATATGAATGCTAAATTTTTTATATTACTTTAAATGTTGGTGATTGAGCATAATTATAGCTACTTGTTTTTCCTCTCATATCCATCACATTTACTTACTATTCCTTGACGCACCTTTATTGATTAACTGATAACTGACATACTTAGTACTTTCTAGGGACATTTATCCTTGGATTAGGTTTTAGTTAAATCACGGTGATAGGGCGATTACCACAACTTTTCCGCGCAACGTCAAAATACCATCCTTCTGACCGAGACACCGTATATTTCTGGACAAAATATTAATGGCGGGATCAATAAATTTCAGGTTATAGCTTACAAAATATCTTACTGCTGGACATTGCAAGATTATTCCAATTGTTTAAGTATTCCATCGAATTTTTAAAACAATTTATCGTTATTCTAGCACAATACAATTCACAAAAAAACACATACTTCGAAGAAATATTGTTTACAAAAGATCGTGTGTACCTCAACATGACTCGTACCTGTCACAAAAACGTGTGTTATAACGACGATGTCTTTGTTCTATGACCTAACAAGCTCGTATATTTATTATGGTCAACCCTAAGTTCAAGTTCCATACAAAATTGTGTGTTTCTATCGTAAATTTCAGGGAATATATGTTGAAAAAAGGCCTACTGACCCGAATATTGGAGCACCGTACAACACTGAATTCAAACACCGCATTCTTTTTCCGTTAGACCGATAAATACTGGCCACCTCTTCTTTTGAATTATGCAATCTTCATACAAATATGTTTCATTTGATGAAAGATTGTTTACTTGCTGTTACGTTATGTTGCTGTTATCATACGTTATGTTATGGAAAATTTCAGAAAGTCTGATCTGTGTTAATACTACCAGTTATAGATAAGTGCAATGGTATCTATATATAGATAAGGATGTCTTTTCCTTTTAGAACTTATTCAAACTGATAAACCCCACATGGAAAGATTGAAGTTCTTGGCAGACTATACCATCTAACAACATCGAGAAAAAAAGGAATGAAATATTTTTAATAGGAATTTCTTATTGCATACTAATTTGATAAAGTTGCAAAAGTCATAAATTTTCACGGTGTAGTTTTTGCAGGAACCCGGGCAATATTTCCATAATCTCTTCAGTCATGGTCTCCAATGTGCTTTTATTAAACAATCTTTTGCGAAAGTTTGACTTCATATTCTTTTACTAATGTGGTGTGTTAAGCATATCGTCCTGAAATACAGGGAGGCGCTGATCCATTGGCGTACTGCTGAAATCAGAAGACTTAGTTGGGCTCTCTCCAGTTGCTGCAGTATCTTCTGGAAGTATTTGCAGCTTTGCAAATTTCGCACGTTGCTTTGGCTTGTTCAGACATAGGTTTGAACGTCTTCTTTTTCTGAAAGCAAACATTAATATCAAAAATAAACGGTGCTAAAAAAACAGAAAAATGCGGTGATTTTAAGGAGGAAGAATGCGGTGCCCTAATCTTATGATTGACAAAGTTGTGCGGTGCCTTAAAATACACACGTGGAAACATAAAAATCGTTCCAAATATACAAAAAACGGGTTATTTATGTATTGTAACTTGTTCATACGACATCAATGTACATATTTATATTGTATTTTGGCCAGTTATATGAACTGAACGGACTAGAAATACGTTATATTTCGTAATCAAAGCAAGATTTTTTTCAGTATGCCCTAAATGTTTTCACTATCCTGACTTAATTAATGAAGCATTTTGCATGTAGTAAGGATAAATAAGTTTCAAATTAAATGGCACATTCGATGAAAAAGAAAAAATGATGATTTTACCTTGTTTTGAGCAAATTATCTGCTGTTTTCGTCTCGGTTACAGACTTGCTGTCCATTTTGTACCACAGAAATATACGGTGTCTCGGACAGAAGTAAGATATTTTGACGTTGCGCGGAAAAGTTGTGGTAATCGCCCTATCACCGTGTAAATCAGGTTTAGGGAAATGTAGTGAAGCTCATAGTAAGGCAATGTTTGTACTTATGGTATATCAGATATTATTGTTATATAGATAACATTAACATAGGTTAACTCTTTGATGCTGGTGATAATGGATGATGAATGTCATAGAGCCTATGCTGTCTAGTAAGAGTCTCCAGTAATGTCACAATGGACTGTTCCAGATTCACATTTATCTCATGATATATAATCTGCTTAAAGACTTAAGGTAGCATTGTTTAGGGAAATATTATACTAAAACCATTAAGAAAATTGAATTTTTTACATCACATTTCATATCATTCTTAAAAATGTGTCTGAATATGGAAAGTAACACCAAGTACTATGAAGTATATTAATTTTCTTTTACAGAAAGATCAGGATCCTGGGGCATTTGATGACTATTTTGCTACAAGTGTTAGGGATGTTTATATGATAAGATATTCATTATTACCTTATTTATATACACTGTTTTATGAGAGCTACAAGAATGGAACACCAGTTGCCAGGGCAATGTTTTATGAGTAAGTTTCTTGATGTGCTTAAAACATTAATAAATAATGATCTAATTAAGCTGGATAATCATATAATTATTGCCCCTTCAAAGAAGAGGGGGTATATTGTTTTGCTTATGTTCGTCTGTCTGTCAGTCTGTCCATTGGCAGACCACATGGTTTCTGCTGATTATCTTAAAAAAATTTATCACAAAGTCAACATACTTCACATACTAATTGGTCATAACTAGTAGATGACCTCTATTGATTTTAGGGTCACTAGGTCAAAGGTTAAGGTCACATGGGCCTTGAATCAGTGTTAAAATTGTTTTTCGCTTGTTATCTTGAAAACAATTTATCACAAAGTCTTCATATTTCATGTATAATGGTTATATGAAGTAGATGACCCCTAATGATTTTGTGTTCACTATTTCAAAGGTTACTGGTGCCTTAAATGTTAGAATGATTTCTGCTGATTATCTTGAAAACTATTTTTTATGACAGAGTCTTGATATTTCACATATTAATTGTTCATTTGTAGTAGAGGATCCCTTTAGATTTTTGGGTCACTAGTTCAAAGGTCAAGGTCACTAGGACCTTAAATGTCAGATTGGTTTCCGCTCATTATCTTGAACACTATTTATCAGAAAGTCTTCATATTTCACATATAGTCATATGTAGTTGATGACCCCTATTGATTTGGAATCACTAGTTCAAAGATCATATTTCATATATTGATTAGTCATAATTGGGCAACTAGTTTAATTAAAGGTCAAGGTCTTTCATTTATTTCAGATATGGATTGGTTATATCTATTAGGCCAATTATTTTTCTTTTTTCCATACTGAACACTTCCATGTACCCATTAATGGCAAGTTTCTGTAACAAAATTACCAATAGTATGAGTCAAGGGCTAGAAAGGGAGGGGGGAATGTGTCATTCAACATTTCTTGTTAAAATTTGATTTCCATAATGAAAAATATGTGAGCCTTGAATTTCACGGAAGGAGCAGAAAGGACAGAACAAGCAGAATGAATGGAAAGAACACAATTAGTATTAGTCTGAGGCTAAAGTAAAATGTATTTGTATCTAGTTTTGTTAAGTTGGTTGTAACATTGCAAACAACATATTTGTAAAAATAAACAGACTCAACTCTTTAGTTTTAGATGATAGGTTGATCCCTTATGTAATAAATACTTTAGTGAATACTTTAAATATATAGGTGTAAACATGGCTGTTTTATTGTGTTTGTATTTCAGGTTTCCCAGTCATAAAGACACATACCATATTGATAGTCAGTTTATGTGGGGACCAGCTCTCCTGATTGTTCCAGTGATAACCAAGGTAATTTTAGTGTATGTAACTAGTGCATGCATACAAGTCATGATGGTAGGGGCTCAGGTGTGGTGCATGTGCTGTATAATATTTGTCACCTAGTAACCAAGATGTGGTGCATGTTTTATATAAGATGTGACACTTAGTTACTGAGTTCCGGTGCATGTTTTATATATGATATGTTTGTTAGTTACAAAGATGTGGTGCATATTTTATATAAAATCTGACACTTAGTTACCAAGATGTAGTGCATGTTTTATATCATTAAATCCTTTTGGTTTGTTACCATTTCCAAGATGTGATGCATGTATTAAAGATGATAAGTTGGTTTTTTTTGCTGAGATGTGGTGCATGTTTTAAATAAGATATGTTGGTTTTTTACAAAGATGTAATAATAATAATAATAATAATAAAGGCTTTATTTAACGAGGCTACATATTCGCCAAAACAATTTTCCATATGTACCTCAACATATTTACAACATATTTACATCAAATAATTGTACAAAAGACAATGTGGTGCATGCTTTATATAAGATTTGTTAGTTTATTACAAAGGTGTGGTGCATGCTTTATATAAGATTTGTTAGTTTATTACCAAGATGTGCTGCATGTATTATTTTAGATCTATGACTTAGTTGGTGCAATTGTATTATTTAAAATCTGTCACTAAATTACCAGGATGTAATGAAAATATAATGGTGATCTGTTTCATTGTTATATGCAATATACAAATACAAATGTTACCTGTAGGTGGATGTTGTTTAGGTTAAATGCAAAAAAAAATATTGATATACTAGATTGTTCAAAAATATTGTTAATTCTCTGACAAAGTGGAAAAGAAGAATATTATTCTTAAGATTTGAAGATACAGTAAAGGAATGTGTCTGATTAACACAATTTTATATTAGATTTATAAATCAAGATGATGTTTGTCTTTCATTTGTTCACATATTTCCAGAATTCCAGAAAAGTGGAGGCATATTTACCAGCTGATAGTCTGTGGTACTCTTTTTACTCTGGATTAAGATTTAAGGGTAAAGGTGAAAATATCACACTATCTGCACCACTCAACAGTATAAATCTTCTTGTAAAAGGGGGAACCATCATACCAATGCAGGAACCAGGTCTTACAACCTCTCAGAGGTAAGTTCATATTTTTTTCTAAAGCTATCAAATTATAGTTATTAAGTTCACTCATAACATTTGCAATTGATGATCTGTGTGCATTCAAGTAAAAGGATGTAGTTTATTTAAGATGTCATCATATTCAATTTTGTGATATTGACTGGCATTTGTGAGAATATGAGAGATACTCTAGAATAGAAAACATATTCTCTGATGTAATTGTAACAAATAGAATTATCAGTCTTGATAGGATGATATAAAAATTACTATTTTTTGTTGATAATTGCAGTATACAGAATGAGTTTTCTTTGCTTGTGTCACTTGGTTTTAATGGCACTGCCTGTGGTTCTTTATACAAAGATGACGGAGATTCTCAAAGTAAGATATCTTAAATACACGGTTCATATTGCTGTCAATAAAATTCTTTATGTTAAATACTAAATATGTATTGTGGTAAAGAGAAAATGTTTCATGAATTATGCAGTGCAAGTTTGTAGAATCTATAGGCTTGTCAAAAGTAACAAAATATGTGTGTTATTAAATGTCATCAACCATAGTATTTAAGATAAATAGATTGAAATACATGTCATCAGAACAATTTTTTGTATGGCTATGAATTTCATTATATTCTAAAATAAGATAATTGTGTACTACCTTATTTAAACAGAACAAATTTTAAATTGAGGTTGTTATAATTGAACTGCTTTGAATTAGACCTGTCACAGTGAAACAGATTAGTTTAAATGTCATGAAAAAGAAAATAAATAATATTTATTGAATCAATCTTTAATAATTTTCAGAATCATTGGAGGCAGAAATACATACATTCATCACATTTCATGTGTCAAATGTAAGTTTAACAAACTGTCTATTTATAAACACCAACATTTGTCTAGATTTAGAATCTTATAAACATGTCATGATTTACGTTAGAAATGTACTAGTAGTCCCATAAATACATGTAGTTAACCCTTAACCTGTTGGAACTCAAAACATGATAAGCCTTTATCATCAGCATACAGTCATGCCAGCCAGCACATCTGTAAAATCTGACCAGGCTCGGCACTGTTGGTAGCTTGGTTTTTTTTTGTATTTTGATATTGGAATTCATTTAACTTTGAATGAACTGTTTTAAAGATCGGCTAATCCATTACACAAAGTCAGCAGCTAAAGTTATATACATGTATGTACATTGTACATGTATTTTGTTTCAATTTAAACTGATCTTTAGATTTGAAATGTGAATTATGTGCAAAGGATAGTTACATAAAGAAAAAGAACTGTAATTCTAAATGTTGATCAATATGGATTGTTGTTAGTTACACAAGAGAAATATTTAAAGTGTTTTGAATAAGTGAGTAGTTTTCATTGTTAGTAGTTTCACAGTAAGGTTTTACCAAATAACAAGCTACATGTGAGTCTATCACATGTACTTTAAAATTGTATCTATTGTTTCTATCATGAGAAGACTTTTTGCAATAGATAATTGCTAGAATTCTTGCTGGGACAACACTTACCATTGACCTTTGCACTAGTATGATACATACATGTATTTACATGCATTGTTTATGTTGCTTAAACATTGTATTTGTACTTACAGAAACGTTTACAGTCCACAATTGTAAAAGCAAGTTATTTATTCAATACAATGCTCAAGAACATAACTATATTTGGAATTGATGCAGCACCAGAGAAAGTTATCATGAATGGAGCTTCTCAAGTATTCAGTTATAATACGACTTTAAAGGTAACTCTTGTCATTTCATTATGTACTACAAAGTTTGAACAAAGGAATTTGGGCATTTGTTGTCATAGTATGTTGCCTTGGTTCCCAAACTAAAGTATTATAATAGTGATCTAGCAATATGGGCCACTTTTATGTTATGTTATTTAATGCAGTGATTACTGAATAATTTACCTGGCTTTAGGTAATTGAACCGTTCATCTGTCCGTCCGTCCATTCATCAGTCTCTGAGAGGTTAACCTAAACTGTCAAGTTGAATTTATCTTTTGTTCTACCAATGGCTTCATTATTTACACTTTACATGTACCAATTGCTTCATAATTTTTACACTAAATGGTCAATACAAAGTACATGATCTTGACAAGTTACATAATTATTGCTATCATTTCTAGATACATGTGATATTTGGTGACTAGAAGCCAATATTTGATAGATACATGTGTTATTTGGTGACTAGAAGCCAATATTTGATAGAAACATGTGTTATTTGGTGACTAGAAGCCAATGTTTGATAGATGCATGTGTTATTTGGTGACTAGAAGCCAATTTTTGATAGATGCATGTGTTATTTGGTGACTAGAAGCCAATATTTGATAGATACATGTGTTATTTGGTGACTAGAAGCCAATATTTGATAGATACATGTGTTATTTGGTGACTAGAAGCCAATATTTGATAAATACATGTGTTATTTGGTGACTAGAAGCCAATATTTGATAGAAACATGTGTTATTTGGTGACTAGAAGCCAATATTTGATAGAAACATGTGTTATTTGGTGACTAGAAGCCAATATTTGATAGATACATGTGTTATTTGGTGACTAGAAGCCAATATTTGATAGAAACATGTGTTATTTGGTGACTAGAAGCCAATATTTGATAGATACATGTGTTATTTGGTGACTAGAAGCCAATATTTGATAGATACATGTGATATTTGGTGACTAGAAGCCAATATTTGATAGATACATGTGATATTTGGTGAATGGCAACCAATATTTGATAGATACATGTGTTATTTGGTGACTAGAAGCCAATATTTGATAGATACATGTGTTATTTGGTGACTGGAATCCAATATTTGATAGATACATAATTATGGCTGTCAATGACAGCCAGTATTTTGTAATGTGTTATTGATGGACAAATATATAAACTTAACTAAAATTACTCTTTCAGATATCCTAATGGATAATTTATTAATAATATGTGACTTAATCTTATATTACAGGTTTTAAAAGTACCTTCCTTGAATTCTAAAGTGTTTATGATGAAACCATTTGTATTAGATTGGATGTAACCAGTGTATCCAAGTGTGTAATTTGATTTGATAATAATCAGAGATCTGTGATAAACATTTTATTTCATAATTTTGTTAACAAAAATTGCTTTGGGGCCATTCTATTTCTTCATAAGAGAAAAATACTGAATTACTTGGAATGATTGATTGTTTACTGTTGTATATGGTTTAACATTAAATAAGGGTTGTTTTATCAGTTGTGTTATATGTAACAATTTAGCAGCCTTTTTAAATAAACCATTTGTGAACATTTATTATTTACTTATTACAATAGAAATACTTGTGTTCAACACAATGCATTATTAAATTTGCAAAATTTATGAAAATAATACTTTTAAGCTCATTAATTTTGAGAACAGAGGTTAGCATTTCTGATTGCCGTCCATTCTTAGTTGTCTGCATCAGCCATGTAGCAATCCACCGACATCTTCTTAACCACCAGTAGATTTTGACCAAACTTCACAAGTGATGTTTATTAGGCTCTCTTGGTAAGCAATCTGGGATCATCATGACCCACTTCTTTCTATCTTTATATTTAACTTGTCATAAATTGCAGATAGCAAGCCAATGCTCATACTTTATATGTATACAATGTATATGTTCACTTATTTTTTTATATGATATAAGGTGTTTTGATTGTATATATGAGTGCCTGTGCAAGTGTGTGTCTGTGTGAGTTTACATTGCTCACATTGGTGTGTGTATGAGTGATTTTGGTCTTTATAATGATCTACAATTACTGTTAGATCTGTTTCTTTATTTGCCTAGAATTGTTTGTGCCATATACATCTAGCGACTTTTAATGTGGTTTGAGTGGTTATTTGTTTTTTTAATGATATATGATTAAATGTTTGTTTATTCTTATGGTGCTAGGTTTATGTTAACTGCATATACACACATAAAAGCACACATTTTACAGTATATAATTTAACAAGCTATTTACTTTAGTTGTCGTACCTTTATTTATTGTTTAATCCCCTTCCTCAAAGAGGGGAGCAAATTATAGGAATGGCCTCTGTCTGTCCGTCCGTAACACTTTCATTTCCGCTCCATAACTTTTAATCCCTGAAATTTTTTTGAAATAACTAGTCTTGGCAAAGTGATTATTATTATGAGACGTTGTGCAGAGGGCAATAATTGGGTTGCTACCCCCGGGTCAAGGTCACACTTAAAGGTCAAATGTTAAAATCTACATTTATGTCGGCTCCATAACATTAAATCGCTGAACTTTTTTTTTAATAACTTGGCACAAGCGATCACCATTATTGGATGATGTTCAGAAACAATAACTTGGTTGTTACACCTAAGGTCAAAATCACACTTAAAGGTCAAGTGTTAAAAAAAGTCTACATTTCTTGTCCACCTAATAACTTTTAAACCACTGGAAAAACTTTGAAATAACTTAGCACAAATGATAACCAGTATGACACCATGTGCAGAGTACAACAATCATGTCAGTACCTTCAAGGTCCAGGGTACACACAAAACATCTATTTTTCATGTCCACTTTATAGCTTATTGATAATTCAAAGGTTTTTAAATTACTTCGCACAAATGATTCCATCATGTCAAAATCTGCAGAGGGCAACATCAAGGCTGCTACCCCAAAGTTACATCCATGTTGCTACCCCCAAGGTCAAGGTTATATGTTTTTCCATAATTGTTTGACTTTATGGACGATTTTTAAAAACTTGGCACAAATAATTACCATCATAAGACTATGTGCTTATGATATGCATTGCACAACATCAAGGTCATGGTTTGTTAAAGGTCAAGAAGTATACATTCATGTCCACTGAGGAAGGGGATTTAGCTGTCCTTAAGACTGACTTGCTGAATTTGAAAATGCAATGATAAAGCATTTGGTTGAATAGTGTCTTAAAGGAAGGTAAAATAGAAGATTGGGTATGATTGATGTTGATACATTTTTTTATATTCTATATTTCACGTTAGACATTAGCTCTGTCCTTGAAAACAAAAACAGGTTCTTTTATTAGCCACATAAGTGTTTACATTAACTGTTGTAAGTGGTATTTAAACCTTCATGATTTAAGAGTATTTATTCATGTTTGTATCTTAAAGTATCATATTCATACTGGAATAATTGTAATAAGATCTACTTGTTGAAGTTTTCTGTTGAATAGAAACTATTTGAGCTAGGTATGCATATATTTTTGTAATACATGTCTATTAAAAACAAGCAATAAACAAACTATAGAAATATTTTTGTGTTTCTGTATATTATATGTGAAAAGCTGACTCCCTTGATTTCAATCTTAAGGGGACTCAAATGAGTTTATTTAAAGAAATCACTTCTCTGTCGTCTGTCCTCCCGTCTGTCTGTCCGTCCGTCCATCACAAAACTTGTGCGGACTACTCCTCAGAAACTGAATATTTCATCCAAACTTTACATGAATGACTAGTATGTAGTCTAAGTGTGCTTATCGTCAATATTTTCTGGTTCAAAAATTTTTGTCAGAATTATGGCCCTTTAATAATTTTTATTTTTAAAGTTTGTCCGAACTACTCCTCTTATACCACTCATGCAATTTCATTGAAACTTTACAGGATTGATCTATAGCTCAAGTGCTTGGGCATATTGCACAGGTTTTCCAGTTGAATGATTTTTGAATAGTTTCCTTGAATAAAAGATGTTTTTTGTGCATTTCCAGTTACACAAAAGCATGTTCGGACTTCTTCTCAAAAACTACTGATGCAATTTCATCTAAACTTCACAGGAATCATCAGTACAAAGTTTAGTTGTGCATAATATTGGCTTTTTATGGTTGAATGATTTTTGTCAGGTTTCTGGCCCTTTAATTGTTTTTATATTTAATGTTTGTGCTGACTACTACTCTTATACCACTAATGCAATTGAATTGAAACTTAACAGGATTGATTGGTAGGTCAAGTACTTGTGCATAATACACAAGTTTTCCGCTTGAACGATTTTTGGCTGAGTTATTGCCCTTGAATTTAAAATGTGTTTTTGTGTTGCCAGCTACTGGACTACTCCTAAGAAACTAACTGTTGCAATTTCATCAAAACTTAAGGGGAATGATGAATACAATGTCTAATTGTGCATCTCTTCAACATTTTTCGGTTCATTGATTTTTGTCAAGAGTTTTGGCCCTATAATGATTTTAATTTTAAAATTTGTCGGGACTTATCTTATTATACCACTGAATGAAACTTTACAGGATTGATCGTAGCTTAAGTTCTTGTGCATATTACACAGGTTTTTAGGTGGAATGATTTTTGCCGAGTTATGGGTATCATAAGGCGACATGTGATCACTAATTGCTCTTGTTTTTGACAAGACAAAACTGGATTCTTTTTATGCCCCCCTTCGAAGAAGAGGGGGTATATTGTTTTGATAATGTCGGTCTATCTGAATGTCCCTCGGTAGACCACAAGGTTTCCGCTGATTATCTTGAAAACTATTTATCGCAAAGTCTTCATATTTCACATAGTGATTGGTCATAACTAGTAGATGAACCCTATTGATTTTGAGGTCACTAGGTCAAGGGCACAGGGGCCTCATATGTCAGAATGGTTTCTGCTGATTATTTTGGAAAGTATTCATCACAAATTTTTTATATTTCACATAGTGATTGGTCATAACTAGTAGATGACCCCTTTTCATTTTGGGGTCATGAGGTCAAAGGTCAAGGTCACATGCTTCTTTAATGTAGGAATGGTTTCTGCTCATTATCTTGGTTACTATTTATCACAAAGTCTTCATATTTCACATATTGATTAGTCGTAACTAGTAGATGACCCCTATTGATTTTGGGGTCACTAGGTCAAAGGTCACAGGGGCCTTGAATGGCAGTTGGAATTCAACATATTATCTTGGTTACTATTTATCACAAAGTCTTCATATTTAAGATATTGATTGGTCATAACTAGTAAATGACCCCTATTGATTTGGGGATCACCAGGTCAAAGGTCACAGGGGCCAAAAATGTTAGAATGCTTTCCACTCACTATCTTGGTTACTATTTATCACAAAGTCTTCATATTTCACATTTTGAATGTTCATATCTAGTAGATAACCCCTATTAATTTTTGGGTCACCAGGTCAAAGGTAAAGGTCACAGGGTCCTTGAATGGTAGTATGATTTCAGCTCATCATTTTGAAAGCTAATTATCACAAAGTCTTCATATTTCCCATAGTGATTGGTCATAACCAGAAGATAACCTTATTGCTTTTGGGTCACTACTAAGTTAAAAGGTCAAGGTCACAGGGGCTTAAATGTCAGAATGGTATCCGCTTATTATCTTGAAAACTATTTATCACAAAAGTCTTCATATTTCTAATATTGATTGGTCATATTAGATGACCACTATTGATTTTGGGGTCACTAGGTCAAAGGTCTAGGTCACAGTGTCCTTGAATGTTAGTTTGGTTCCCGCTCATTATCTTGAATGCTATTTATCACAAAGTCTTCATATTTCTAATATTGAATGGTCATAACTTTTAGATGACCCCTATTGATTTTGGGGTCACTAGGTCTAAGGTCAAGGTCCACAGGGTCCCGCTTCATGTCAAATAGGGGTCCGCTCCCCAATTCTTGAAAACTTTTTTATTCAAAAAAGTCTTAAATTGTTTTTCTTTTCCCCATAACTGAACATTTTCCATTTACCCATTTAGGGGAAAGCTTCTATAAAAAAAACCAATAATGTGATTTCAAGGGCCCTTAAAAGGGGGCAATTTTTCGTTCAATTTTTTGGGTTTGAGAAATTGTTTCCCTTTTGAGTGGGCATGGACAAAAAATTTCACCCCCTTTTAACTCAAAAACGAGGGGAAAAAAGTTCCATCGGAAAAAATTTTGTGAGCAATTCCGTTCCTCTTTGGGGAGCACCCATTTTTTGACGTTTTGACACGATAAACAAGGTGGACTTTTTTAAAAAATTAAATTTTTTGAAAAAAATTACAACGAAATTTGGTAAAAAATTATGGGAATTTTGCATTACCCGGGATGGTTTTTCCCCCGAGTTTTGCACATGAAAGAAATTGTCTGTTGGTGGAAAAATTGAGGGAAATACCGGCGAGGGCAGTCACTGGGGGTAGCGGGAAAAAACGGGAGACAATTTTCTTTTTGGACCAAATTTAAATTGAAAACGTCGAAATTTTGGTGATTTTGTGAAAAATTCTTAAAACCTAAAAAAAAGTCCCAAAAAGTCTTCCAGCGTAAATTATTATCTGAAAGTCTTCATAGAAACGAAGATATACCCTTTTTGCTTTAATCCTCGTTGTGAGCACCATAACCTCGTTGTGAGCAAGACAAGCGCAGTGCGTGTATTGTTTTAATATGTAATTCAGATGGTGAAAAATATAATTTTCAATCTACCACAGCAATTAAAACGTTTTTTGCACAGCAGCATTTCTTTGCAAGACGTCGTGCATACCCAAAGGGAGGCATATTAGTTTTGAACTGTCCGTCTGTCAGTCCGAGCAAATATTTGATATTTATGAGCTTCATTCCGTAGTTAAATAAAGAACAAAACTCATAAGATTCAAATTAAGAGCTATTTTGAGCTAATTTTTGCTTATGGACGTTGGTCCAGGTGGTGTTTTATGAGCTGATTTGCCTCATAAATATCAAAAGTTGGTACGTCCGTCAATCTGTCCGAAAACTTTTACATTGGCCTTAACTTCCTTATTAGTAAACGGATTTGATTCATATTTGACACAACATCCCTTAGCACCTTCCTACGGACCTGTATTTTTTTTACCTTGACCCCTGAATGGCCTTTACCTTGAAGTTCAAATTGTCCAAAAACATTTAAGATTGGCCATAATGTCCTGGCATAATGTTTTGGCACAACACATCTTTGGACAAGGCCTTTCAACTATCCTATATTATTTTGACCTTGACCCCTGAATGACCTTCACCTCGAAGGTCAAATTGTCCAAAAACTTAAAAATTGGTCATAACTTCCTTATTAGTAAAACGGATTCTACTCATATTTTGAAAAAAACACCCCTAGGCAAGATCTTCAAACTGATCTGTATTTTTTTTATCTTGTACCGTGAATGACCTTCTAGAACATCCAAAAACTTTAACATTGGTCATCACTTCTTTATAAAGTAAAGTTGATTTAATTCATATTAGGACACAATGCCCCTTTGGACAAGACCTTCCAACTGACATATATTTATTTCACCTTGACATTGAATTACATTCACATTGAAGATCTACTTGTCCAAAAAACAAATAATCTATCTGGTCCATAAATCAAAGGACAAATCACCACTTCAGGGGCATTGTCAACTTACCGTGATAGTTCTTGTTTTACATAACTTGGTCAGTCTTCAGCTCAGGATAAACACATGTATGTGTGTATCACACAGACTGTGAAATTGTTGAAATATTCATAAACTCCCGTGATGTTCACTCGAGCCAAACTAGAGTATACGAAATAAAATACCTGATTTACCTACACTGATTAGTTCTTCTGTTAATCTGATGACTTGTGAATATGAAGAATAATTTTCAAAAAAACTTTTAAAAAAGAAAAAGAAGAACTATTGCAAAGAAAAACTATTGTACAAAAAAAACGTTTTGATTGCTTTTGGTAGATTGAAAATTGTATTCTTGCCATTTGAATAACATATTAAAACCAGACAAGCACTGCGCTTGTCTTGCTCACAACGAGGTTATGGTGCTCACAACGAGGATTAAAGCAAAAAGGTATATCTTCGTTTCTATGAAGACTTTCAGATAATAATTTACGCTGAAGACTTGTGGGCATCTGTTTTAGGTTAGAACGTCACCAGAATCGACGTTTTCAATGTTAAATAAGGTCCAAAGAGAAGTTGTCTCCAGTTTTCCAGCTAACCCCCGAGTGACTGCGTCGCACGGTATTTCCATCAAATTGTCCACCAACAGACAATATCTTTACATGTGCATACTCGGAAAACACATCGCTAGCTAACTGCATTCCGATATTTTACATAAATGTCTGTAATCTTCAAAAATTATGAAAAAGTCACCTTGTTTATCGTGTCACTCGTCATAGATGGGTGCTCACAACGAGGAACGGAAGTTGCTCACAACATTTTTACCGATGGACATTTTTCACTCGTTGTGAGTTAAACGGGCATGGCTGACAAAACTTTTGATAATTTGCTCACACCGTTTTTCCAGAATTACTATGAATCCAAAAATTAAACTTTGCAGAAATGTTGAAAGAGAATGAAAGATTTTATAGCT